CAAAACTTTCATATGACAATCCCAAACAAAGAACATGTCGACCAGATGGTTATTACTTTCCCAGACGTTCTTATCGCGTGATCTTAAGCTGTCTAAAGGACACCTTTAGATACGACTCAAGTAGGCTATTCCCGGGCGATTTACTTCAAATATCAGTTATTGAAAAAGACCGTAATGTAATTTAGCTTTCGAAAGACATGTTAGGTTAAGTTAATTTTTCTTAAAAAAGTGCATTTATTGTGTCATGTGCCAATCAGAATAAACCTAAAGTTCACTTAAAAATAAATTTTACTTCATTACAGTCGAGAAAGGTTGGATTCAGTCTGAGTTAAGGTGATTTCTCGGGAAAAAACGCAATCGAACAATTTTGTTAAACTTTCTGCAAATTTTCCTATTGACGATCTGGTTGGATAGGGTCTGACCACGCTTAAAGCACTGATGTCCATGGAATGGAGAACATTACCTGAATTTACTCTTAAGTATATCGAAAATCTCCAGTGTTTGATTCACCTTAATGACTTTGTTGACCAAAGCTCTCTAAGGCCCTTTCCTCACTTATTCGAAACGGCCACAAGAAAATTTACCCGTGGCACTGTGGGACCTTCACATCTTCCAATTCTTAGACAATTTTTAACTCAGAACAGCGCATGACAGTCATGTATACCCGCACAGAATCACTGCTACTTAATACATTTAGATAGAGCACTTCCATCAAGTTTGTGAGAAATACCTCTCTAAGTGTTAAATCAAAAGCTTTGAGCTCCATTAGTCTCAGCTCTTCTCGTCGTTGACGTGACTTTTTATGCAAATTTACTCTTAGCTCGAAACATTAAACAAAGCTAAATCTATCACATGACTTGTGATCAGTAAATAGATAACAGTTTGGCTCGAAAGACTCCTCTTTAAACTTTGTTCAGATGAACACGATCGTCGAAAATTAAAAGGAAAGCTTGCTTCCATTTCAAATATACTTGAATATTCAAATGGCCCAAGATAAGCGAAAAAAACTGCATTTTTCCGTCAACCTAGGACGCCGTTGATCAAAGCTTCTTCAGCGGCGTTAATTAACAATTTGTCCATACGGCAATGCTTATATAGTTGAATACAGTTTTGAAAGCGTGATACCTATTTTGATAC